GATGGATAGATGGATAGATGGATAGATGGATGGATGGATGGATGGATGGATAGATAGATAGATAGATAGATAGATAGATAGATAGATAGATAGATGGTTGGACGAATAGATTGATTGATTGATTGAGTATTTTACTGCAAAAAGTAAGCTCCCTAATAACCTGTGTCTGTTCTAATTCCAGTCATTCATTCAGGGACCAGTTTCTCTGGAGGGTCCTGCTTACTGATCCTTGCAGACCCACTGACCCTCAACATGCAGACCACCTCTCACAGGCTGCACACAGCGTCTGCAGAGCTCCGTTCCATGCATGAGTACAAACAAGTCTCAAGTGTCCCCGTGACAGCACTATTGTCTCCGTGTCCATTGACATCTGTCCCCCGAGCTTGTCCTTCAGCAGTAGACTTTGTTGTACAGCTGCATAAACCCGCCGGGTTCGCTGTTCACCTTAATGTCTCCACCGGGCTGACTGAAGAACACGGTGGTCGGATGTTCGCGTCAGCACTTACATTGTTCCAAAACACAAGACTCAAGTGGATTTTTTTGTCTTTCGGGGATGTGAAGCGTGGAAAGGTGTCACTGTTGGCTGGCTTCTGACTTTGTCGTGAAAGAGCTCGCATGAAGGATTCCTTAATGATTTATAGTGAAGGAAATAATTGAAAGCAGGACTTTCAGGAGTCGGATGGTTTTCAATGAGCCCAGCAGTTTGGTTTGATAGAAAACACGTGGCCAAAAACCTCGCTTCAAGTTTTGATTATCTAAGGCAGGGGTGTCAAACTCGTTTTCACCAGGGGCCACATCAGCAATACAGGTCCACTTGAAGGGCCGGTTGTAACTGGAAGACTGTATAGATCCGCGGACCAGTACCAGTCTGAACTCGCAAACTGTGTAAGACTGTATAGATCAGGGGTCCCAAACTCACAAACTGTGCATTAGTACCTATGTCACTCAGGTACTAACACATACTGCAAATGTACTCAGGTACTACACATCCTTATCTAGGACATAAAAACACCAACAGTGTCTGACTTACACCTGGGAGCCATAACGAAGGGCAAAAAGTTGGCTTAAAAAAGTTGGTGGGCGATGGCGATATAACCCTCGTATTAGAGCAGTGCTTCTCAATTATTTTCTGTCATGCTCCCCCTAGGGGGCAGAAATGTTTTTACTACCCCTAATCCCCCACCACCATCCGACCCACACCCCCTGCCAATTAAAATACTACTGAGAACCTGATAACGTGTACAAACCACTGTATGAGTTGCTGCCACCTAGTGGCTGGAGGCTTGTTATTGTCAAGCGTTACAGCAGTGGTACACTTATGTCCAGCGTGCCATATTCCAATGGAAGCCCCTCACGGCCCCCCGCCACCTTGCTGCGCCCACCCAGGGGGGCCCGCCCCACTAATTGAGAAGTACTGTATTAGAGTATAAGTGAATTTGCTGAATTGTTTTTGTCTTCGTTGGCGTCCATGCAGTGACTGATGCCGAGGCTTTAATGTTTCAGGCTCTTTCCTAACAATAGAAACACTTCTTATGTGGCACATCATGATGAACTCGGTATGAAATATGTGTCACAAACAAACTCCAAACCTAAACGATCTCTTTCATATTCTCAAAAGGATTCCTTTACAATTAAACCCAGTTATCTTACCAATCATAAGTCATTATGGTGTTTGTTGCAGTGCAAAAATATGTTCGTTAAAAATGAGGATTCTATCTCCAGGGAGATGCCTTTGTGGAAGCCTGTCTTCTCTCTCCAGTGCTCTGTGTGACACTGAGTGGTTCATCTCCAACATGTGGATGTGGGGATTTGGAGAAGGTGCTTACAGAGCTTCGCTTCATCTCTTTTCAAATTCACGGCTGTGAATCTGTCACAGCGTGAGCTGCAGCGTCTCAGCGCTCTAGCTCACAGAGGTGGTCTTCGTTTTTTTAACCTTCAGACAGTGTCACTGCCTTTAATTAAAATCACATTGTAGGCAGATTTTTTTAATTTATTTTTTTATTTTTACCATGGTTGCATTTTCAGTCTTAGACTGACTTAAAATCAGAGGTGGAAAATGTACTTAAAAAAGTACTCAAGTAAAAGTAAAAGTACTCATCTAAAGGATCTACTCAAGTAAAAGTAAAAAAAAATGTAATTTAAAATTCACTTTGAGTAAAGGTTGCTTAGTAACTTCAAATTACTTGATGCAAAAAAGGACTAGTCCTCCATCCAATCCACAACTAGTTGTTTTTAATCAACAATTTAAATCCAAGTGGCAGAAGTTGAGAATTTTAAATTCAAGCCACTAAAGAACACTGAAATTTTGACAGTGACACCTCTGTCCACCAGGGGCAGCAATATTTTACATCACATCATAAAGTTATTGCCTGGTTAACATTTGAAAACAAAGAGTTGGCTGAGATATGACCAAGGATTTCCTTCTCTTTCTGAGTCCTCTGCTCCACAGGAGAAATCCGCACAAAATTATTTCTTTCAGTTGACGCAGATTTTCACTCAGGTTCTTTTGCAAATGTAGCGAAGTAAAATACGTGAGTCAAAATGTACTACAGTAAAGGTAAAATGACCTATTCTTGAAACTACTCACAAATTAAAAAATTTACTCACAAACACTACTCAATTACAGTAGCATGAGTAACTGTAATATATTACTTCCCACCTCTGGTTTTTACGCTACTCGTCATCAGTTTAGTCGACAAGTCTGGGCTTCAGACACAACTCGGAGTAAAACAGGAGCACATTAGCAGACGAGGTCTGGCTCCAGCCATCGATGACCCCGACCTGCTCTCATGCCTCGCGTTACACGCTCATTAAATCAAGGAGCCACCATTTCCAACTGGACACAACAGCTATTGACACCGTGGTCTGACACAGTGACTCCCTGTGTGCGTGGAGACCCTGACAGGGACTGGTGACCAGTTGTTGACATTAAAGGGGAAGTTTGAAAAAACCTTGAGGGCAGTGATAAAAGCCTCAGTGACCCCCCCGACCCCCGTCAGTGTGTGTGGTTCAACTGGTGGTCACAACCAGTCCTGACCAGAGGCAAGTCCAGGCTGGAGAGATCATTGTTGGACAAAAGTGGTCCAACAAGGGGACACGTGACACAAGGGGACATGGACGTGGTCAAATCTCGGAAGGTTGTAGCGTTTGCTACAGAGAGTGCTCATTTGTGTGAGGTCATTCGATGCTTTGGTTTTCAAAAGACGGACAATCAATGCCTAGAGTTCACCAAGATTTGATTTTCCATTCAAAATGAATGATTTCATATTCCATATTATATCTAGTGTGTCCATATTCACGGAGTTGGAGCCGATCTCAGCAGTGAGGGTCTGCAAATCTCAACAATCCATTCATACTCATACACTTATCACTGAACAAAGTACCTGCGTTTTTTTTTCGTGACCATGGGGGGAAACCGGAGTGTCTGAGACAAAAGAGTAAAAAAATACAACATTCAAACTGTTGTGCTACTGTTTGTGCCTTAAACTAGTGATCTAACAAAAAAAAACAAACGTACAATTCAAAATGCCTGGGTTTTCCACCTCAGTTTGGAACGTTCGTGACCTCAGAGAGGCAGAGGCAAATGGAGCCATTTGGCTCAGACCTCACACTGACAGGTCAACCTAAAAGGTCAGGAGTTTGTTTTGGTCAGTGGCTCTTCTGTTCACTCGTTTCATTTTACAACTCAGAGAAAAGCTCTCCCACAATGCAGCGTGATTAGATAATGCAAGTCAAAAGGAACTGGAGTTTTCGAAAATTGTAAAGAAAGAAAATTAATAGAATGATGAAATATAACAGTTTTATATTAAATATTGATTTTGAGTTTTTTTTCTTACTTTTACATTTACAGTATTTAAAAATGTCACTTCTTTCCCATTCATTCATTCATTTCACCATCCACCATTCAGCTTCTCCACGGACCAGTTGTGTTAGAAGGACTCGTATTTGGAGGCAATAAAGTCAAATAAACATTTGTATCTTGTTGATGTTTGTGTGTTTGTTAGTTTTACTTCGGGTGCTTCTATTTATCAGGAGAACATTTGTGTTAACAAACCAGGAAACAGGTTTTTGGTTTCAACTGTCCCTCCCACCCCCCCTCCCGGTTGTCACTAAGTGACACAGACCAGATAAACGCGCACACACACACACAAACAGTCAGTAACACACACAGAGCAGCTCAGCATCTGCTCAGGATCAGCTTTATTTACCTTCTCTGACACCTTAATCCTTGATACGTCGACTCCAGGGAGGAAATCTACCTCCTAGTATTCCACGGATGATAACAGTCAGAACATTTACGACACCTAAACCACCAGACCAACTTTTGGTTTACTGACCAATTTGTAACATTTACTGAACTGATGTCAGAGGATCCAGGTCCTTTTTGGCGTGCGGGCGTTTGTGTTTTAGGACGATAACATTCAGAGCTCTTCACTTCAAAACAGGAACTTCATTTATTACACTGTAACTTTGTTATTCCTTTGTTTATTCCTTTGTGTAAAGGGAAATTAAATAAGCTTTCCGTGAAGCTTTTACCACTGCATTAAATTAAATTAAATTAAATTAAATTAAATTAAATTAAATTAAATTAAATTAAATTAAATTAAATTAAATTAAATTAAATGTTTTATTTTTTGCAAATATTTTAAATTAAATTTAATTTAATTTAATTTAATTTTTAATTTTTTGTTGTTGTTTTGTTTTTTAGCTTACATCTTATTTATGTTTTATTTTTGTCTTTTTTTTTTTTTTAATACCCATCTCTTGGATATTTGCTCCCTAAAGTTTCATTAATTATCTCTAAAACAACTTTTATATTTTTATAGATTCCTTAAAACCAAACATTTTAGAAAACCTTGATTTAAAATGTGATAGATATATCCTTATACATGGAAGTTATGTTGCTACGGAAGCCTGATTGGGTCATTTCAGGCTCAGGCTTTGAAAGCTAACTATACTATATATTTTATATGAGCAGAGAAAGAGGCCTTTCTGCTCCAGACACTGATTCATTTTCTTCTGTTTCAGTCTCAGTTCATACAATACGATCCACCAACTCAGATACAATTAGTGCGTTTTGCTGCAGACACAAACAATATCAGACGCTGCTCTCTCTCAAATATCACTGACTGTGGTTTTAAATCCAGACTCCCATCATGACACGCTTCTTTGTTCCTTCCCCACTCCCACCATCGTTCCTTATTATCACTGACGTGGAGAAACTCCACAATCACACACTTTGATTTCCCTCCGCCCCTTTCTATCCTCAACCCAAAAAACACAAGCGAGACAATAGCTGTTTGTGTCGAACCCCTCTGTTTGTTGTTTCAGATTCTCAGGACAATGATTCCCTCAGACGAGGTCCTGTAATAGCTCCGTCGCCTTCTTCTGCCAGACGATGTGGTCAAGACAGCAGACAGATTCCTGTGTTGCTGTAGCAGAGATAAAGCACCCATGGATACAGGTTTTTGGTTTTACTTTTTACAACCATCGTGTCACAATTTTAATGGTCCAAAGAGAAACAATGACATTGATTTGTTAGCAGAAATACATGAACTACAAACTAAATTTGTCGTTGTGTATTTGGGAATTATAAAAGATAAAAAACTAAAAAATATTGGAGTAGTTCGACATTCGGTGAAAAATACCATCTATTATACCTGTGCATCCTAATACTCACACTCAGGTATTTCACCTAGTATCAGTAAAAGAAAAGAACAAACCTAGTGTTCGTGCATTTAGCCACTGACTGATCCCTTTAAGTCAGTACTTCTCAAATATTGGGACGGGCCCCCTGGGGGGTGACGCGGTGAGGTGCCAGAGGGGGGCGTGAGGGTCTTCCAATGGAATATGGTACGCTGGACATAAGTGTACCACTGCTGTAATGCTTGAATAATAACAAGCCTCCAGCCACTAGGTGGCAGCAACTCATACAGTGGTTTGTACAGATAAAAATATACAGGTGGGGCATCTGAGGGGCAGAGGGG